ATTCTAGAATCTTCAGTTCATCTTTGGCGTGGTGCTGCAAGTCAGTACTCTGAGTTTCAGGTCAGTTTCTTCAGTTTTTCTGGGCAGGGATGGAGGGTAAGATGCAGGTGGTTCCCGTTTTCACAAGCCCCCATTTTTAGGAAGCAGTTGTGGGTACACTAAGCACCTGGGCCCTGCCTGATGGATGAAAGAAGGAAAGCATAGCATGAAAAATTCACCACTTGGTAGGTGGGCACCAAGTCGACCAACCTTCCAACCCTTCCCACACAGAGCTCTTATTGGGGGAAAGGATGTTCTGAACAAACTCTACAGATACAGGTTTTGTAGATTCCACTCCCACTCCAGACACTGGAACTACAAATCCCGACATCATCAAAGAGATTATTGTTCCAAGATTGGAGTTAAGCAGCTATTTTGTCTGTCTGGATATAAGACCAGACATTTTGGGCTTTGGGGTCTTTTGGCCTTGTGGCTTGTGGCTGAGCTACTGGGGTTCCGGGTCAGCAGAACTGGTAGGACGCATTAACCAACTTATCTCTCTTTCCGAGTTCTTCAATTCCCTTTCCCTTGTAAATAAAACCCATTAGTAACATTTCTGTGTGTGCCCGCAGTTCAATCTTACTAGAAGCCCCTTTTAACAGCACCGGTGAGGACCCACAGTCAGGCAACCCAGTTCACATTAGGGGTTGCCCTGGAACAGTCTGAGTAGTCATATGAAACCAGGGACAGATCCTATGCAGTTTTAAACACAAGGTATCATCTACTTTCCTTTGTGTTTCTTTCTAAAGTTAGTATAGACCTTGAACATGGGCAAGGTATTGCTCTTTCAATTGCTACTGGACATGTGCTTAACACAGTCCCTGACCCTGACCCTTTAACAAACCAGGGTTGTCTGTGACTTGAGAATTTTGCACTGACTTCCCTCTGCTCGGAAATCCATTCCTCTTTCTGTACCCCACCCCCCACAAGGGCATGTTGTGTTTTCTCACCTCAGATTCTGCTCAAGTTCTCTCTTCTCTCATAGGCCCTACCTGACCACCCTTCCTAAAATAACACTCTCTAGAGTGATGACTCATAGCTCTCCTCAGAGAGGGCTTCCATGAAGATGACCAATGCCAGAGGGAAATGCATACTCTGATTAACTAGAATTTCCCAAAGTAGACTTTCCACAAAGGACCCAGCTGTTCATAAGAGCACCTAGTGTTACAACTTGGTAGAAACACTGAAGGCTGTCCCTGTGCCAGGGGAGCCTCTTGTTTCTAACAGACCCTGCTCCCAAGCTCGGGCACCTCCATGGGCACCACTTTCCTTTGTCTTCTGCCTATGGGCACGTGTGTTCCGCTGAGGATACAGAATGGCTGTCACTGTGGACACGTGAGCACAAGCCCACTCCTGTTGGAGTTATCTGTGGACACCCAGGCATGGCATGCCCTGTAGTAATTGCCTCTCGGTGACAAACTGTGATGAGATTTGAATCAACATAGTCTTTTTAAAACTCACTGCAGATAGTCTTTCTAAGAGAGCTGAGAAACCCTCCAAGAGTAACACTGTGAGAAATCTCATCCTCACTCCTACAACTTTTATCCTGTTGAAGTCATGTTCAAATCAAAGGTAGCCAACACTGGAGGAAGGTGCAGGGAGAAGGCAACAGGCAGACTGAGTTGGAGACGAGAACAGAAGAGTTATTCAGACAATTCTGCTGTTTTTCCTGGTTGATTGTGTGTCGGGGGCGGGCCTATGGCCGAGGTACCGTCCTCCATTACAAGATGGCGCTGGGACGCCTGCCAAGCCCAGAATGCCGCATGATCGCAGGAGAGCCGCCAGGGAGGAAATAAGCACCATTGGACACCAGTAGGCTGGGGGTAGGAGGAGGGGCGCTTCTGATTTGCTAATCCGCTCTCCTGATGTAGCCAGATTGGTCGCTGGGAATGATAAATAGCGCCGCGCAACAGCATTAAGCAGCAGCTGAGAACAACCAGGGCGTCTTGTCATTTCTGTGGGTCGGGAACGACAATTCTGTCCTTCCCCCACACCAAACTTGAACAACATCATTGGCAGCCAGAAGACATGGAGCCTTTAACATGGTGGGCTCATCTGCCTCCTTGACAGGCAGTATCTGAGGGTTGGCTCTGCGTTTGCCATCGCAGTTAAAACTAACTCCACATGACCTCAGCAGCAGGAATTTAATGATGCCACGATTTCTCCAATTTCCTAAAGGGGTCAGTTTGACTAGTGAAATAATTGTTAAAAGAAAAATGTGGCCCTTCCTGGTGGTACAGCAGGTTAAAGCACAGCACTAAGAAGCTAAAGCCACTTCTGCATGAGTTCGATCCCCGCCTGTCCAGGAGGTGACCACATGGCGCGGCAGACCTCTCCTGACCCGCCCGCTGCTCCCCTCAGCAGTGTACTTCGTTGATCTGCCTGTTCTGCTCCCCACTCTGTCTCTAGTGAATCCTCTCACCCTTTGCCATCTCTGGCTTGTACCCCAGTTCAGTATGAGTGAACATTATAAAACAAAAAGAAAGAAAAATGCAAATAATATATAATTTTTACTGGTTCAGCTACAACCGATAAAGCAAATCTTTTCTCTGTTTTCACATTTCAGATCAGTTCTCTAGTACCAATTTGCAGAGGGAGTGGTGTCTCTTAGGCCTGGGTGGTCCCTTACTTGAAATCCTCCCCACCATGCCGACTGCGGACTCCAGCAACCTTTCCTCACATGCAAATGCAAACCACCTCATTTTCAGTAAGTCCCTGAAGTACAATGTAGATAGTACCAGTCAGTTCAGAAATAATAACTTTCTTAGTGTTCCCTGTAAGTTGACTTCTTGTGGCCCCTGTTGAATTCTGTCTAAAGACCAGCAAGTGCTTTTTTGTGACTAGAAGCGACTTGCATGGAGCACGGCTATCGGGTGTGTGTGAAACCGTATGGGGAGTGCTTTAGTCCAGACAGCAGGCTTCAGCAGTCTCCTGCCAGCATAGAACTCTCTTAAAATTGTCAGAGTGAGAAGTGGGTATCTCCTCTGTCCAGGTCCCGTGTTTTGTCTTTCCCCATCCTACATTCTATCTGTCCACTTAAAATGGCAACTGGCACATCTGCTATTTTGTGGCTATCTACCTACCCTATCTTGCTCCCCCCAGGTGAGTCAGGCTAGTCTGAGTCCATCCTGTGATATATGTTAAATGAGGAAACTCAAGGTCAGCTATCTTGTGAGCAGCTTAAGTTCATTCACCCACCACCCACAGCAAGTGTGCCCCCCAGCTGGAAGCCAGCTACTTCCATTCACCATCCACACTCAGGTCAGCTGGCTTGCATAGTGCTGGGTTTGGGGGTTTCTGTTTTGTTTCTTGGAGACTGAGGTTTTTGCTTACAAAATAGAGCTTGGTAGTAGTCAGCCATAAAAATACAAATTAAAAAATAAGTATCACTTTCCAGGATGTGAGGCCAGCCAATGTTCCATGCCACACAGAGTAATGGTGTCCCAGTGTTTTGGCACTGAAACAGAAACATTTTAAAAGCAGGGAATCATCACACTCAAGAGATTGAAACCTACCAGGTCTGGAGTCAAAAGTCTGGACATCTCCAGGTGTTATTCTTCTAGTGGTCACTTCCTCTCATTGTTTCCACCAGGCAGTTACTGAATCACACATCATCCCTGTAGACTTCTGGTACCTGGTTGAGATTTTCTTGGATGTTCTTCAACTTCCTAGCAGTAATTCATTTGATGAAGAAATGAGAATTGAACATCCCTTCTGGTTTTGATGTCCTCAAATGGGTGCTTCCCCCCAAACATAATAGCTGGCAGGTATAGAAAGATCTAAAAATATCATTCAATAAAGTTTAAGAGATCCACCACAAAATGCTATTGTGACAGCTGTTTATAACATTAAGCAGCTGTTTACGACATAGGTGACTGAAGGACCCTGCTTTTTGTAATTTTAACCTGATGGACTGAATGAAATCGCCTCACCTGAGCAGATTTATTGCTTGCGTTCACTTTCAATCTAAACATTTGTTTTATATTACAACCACAAAGATGTATTAAAGTCCTTAATTGTTCTTTTCTTTGGAATTAAGATGGGTTTTAGAAGAAATTTCAAATTACAATTTCTTCTATTGTAGATTTATACATCTGCCCACTCATCTATGGCTCATGTTTGAACTTGGGGCAAACTGCTTCTTGGTATTGCTAAGAACATCAGCTCCATGGAAAGTCTTATATATTGTTTAATTGTTTTAGTTTTCAAAATAGTTTTATTGAAATGTGTGTGTGTGTTAAATACCATACAAATCTCCTAGATAAATGATAAAATCAGTGGTTTCTAGTCTACTCAGAATTGTGCAGTTATAACCTCCATCAAGTTTGAAAAAGCTCATCACGGAAGAGGACCCCACATCTATTAGTGGTGCACACAAATAGCACAGGATTACAACACCGCAAATTCTGCTTAAACATAGAAGACTAATACTTGTGTTTATCTCTGTTACTTTCCAAATTCCCTCTAAAGTAACATTAAGAACTTTTTTAAAAAAGCCTAAAACCCAAGGACAAGAAGAGGGGAGAAAACCGCAACTAATTCTAAGTGGTTTGGAATGGTAAATGGACAAGTTGTAACGAACGAACTTAGACAACTGAATAAACTGAGTCCCTGCAGAGAGTGGTGGTTTCATGAGACAGTCAATCAGCAGCAAGCTCATCGGCATTGCAGAACCCAGGAAGGCTCCGAAGTTTGAAGCATCTCTGACTGTCTGAAAGCAGAGGTGTTGAATGGGGTTACAGGGTGAACTCTGATTATTAGGCACTTGGTTGAAATACTTTTAAAGGAGGAGAGGTTTTGGCTTGAAAGTGGCCGGGCAGGAGAAATCCCCTTATTTGGAGGCTGGGCAGCCCTTTTACTTTATGCAGACCTTCAATTGGGCAGGACACCCGTGTTAGAGAGGGCCATTTTGTTTTATTCAATATGCACTCAATATTAACCTCACCAAAAAACACTCTGAGTCACACAGAATCATGTTTGACCATGTATCTGGATACCAATGGCCCAATCAAGTTGACGTACCATCCTATCTTGAGGTTCTCTAGTACTCGAAACTTAGAAGCAGCATTTAGTGTTTCATGCCTAAATGTGAACAGCTTAGGGACATAAGGCTTCTGGGCCCGGACTCCAAGATAAAAAGAAACCCAAACAAGAGCAATTTGGAGGAAATGGGAAAACATCAAACAGAAACAAAAACCAACCAAAAAGCATACAAAGTACTCACTATTAGTAACCTTATTGAATGTTATTGTCACAAAAGAGACAAACCGCGAGTGCTTTCAATTACAGCTTCAGAGAATAAGAAAGCACCTCCAGGATATTTAAAAATAACGTAACAAAAAATTAAACAGAAGGTATGAGAGAAGTCAAGAAAAATCTAAAAAGTAGGGGGAAATATGAACGTTGGGATCAAAACTAGGAGGAAAAACAGCAATTTTAACAATCGATCATAGTCATCAGAAGTGAGAGAGCAAGGCTGAGGAGCCGAGTGCATTATTTCAAGTCCCAAGGCCAGTTGAACATACTTAAGTCAAAAACGTGATCGATCACATCAACCAAAGGAACACCACACGTCCTGTGATCACGCATTAGATGTAGACAAGGCACCCGGCAAGATTCAACAGCCTTGTCATCTTATTGACTCCTCCCTGCCTCCCCACACCAGTTGACATACTTCAGCATAACAGGGGCATACATGCCTCACAGGGGCCCCTCACGCCCCACCGTGACAACTACCAGCTTGTTCTCTATGAGCAGGAATGAGGCAGGGTTGCCCTGTCACCACTATGTAGCAATACAGTGTCGGAAGTCCTAGCCAGTGCCAGGACATCAACGTCACCCAGGACATCAACGTCACCCAGATGGGAAAGAAAAGCAGCAAACCTATCACTATTTGTGGATGCCATTATAATGTGCACAGAACACGCCGGAGGTGCCAGCGACAGGCTATTAGAAACAACACGGGTCTGGCGGTCACAGACAGGAGCGCGGGGTGCCACGGAAGTGCCTGCGGGCACAGCTCTGGCAGAACTGACGCCGGCCCTTGGCGCCGGCGGGCGGCTGGAAGCGCTGGTGACAGAGGGGGCACGTGCGGGCCTTCTGCTCCTCGTCACTTCCCACCTCATAGTTTTCGTCGTCACAGGCGCCGTAGCGGCCCTCTTGGAGTTCGCGTTCGATCTGCCAACCGTGCTTGTAGTCGGACCTGTCGTGGAGGAACTTGCAGCTGTCCCCGAAGCCGCAGAAGCCGGTCTCCTTGTAGTCCTTGCAAATGTCGGGCTGGTAATCCCAGCGCACGGTGGCACGCAGGTGCTCCGGGGCGCGCAGGGGGCCCTTCCTGGCCGCCCCCGAGGCCGCGTGGCCCTGCCACGGCGCCCCGGGCTTCGTGCACTTCTGGTAACTATTCAGGCCCCGGTAGATCTTGTCGTCGTCCTTGCCCCGGCGCTGCTCCTGGATCTTCTGGCTGCGCTCCAAGATGGCCTGCGCGTCGCGCTCCTTCTCCGTGTCCAGCTGGTACACGGCGGTGGCCCCCATGTCCTCCGGGCCCACGGGCTTGGCCGAGCGGGTGGACTTGTAGGCCACGGCCAGGCCCGCGGGCTCCTGGTCGCTGTCGCTGCTCCC